TCCGGATATGTAATCAGAAATTCTGGTACTCGAATGTGGAAACCGTTTCGCGAGCACGATCAAACAGAGTACACTCTATCATTACACACCCGAATAATCGGGATTCTACTCGATTATTTCGGTATCCAAAAACGTAGTGCTAGAAATATTTATTTATTTAGCGAACCAAGGTACAATGATCTCGAGGCGTCTAATCTGCCGCTCTGATAGGGATCTACGGTTCGCAGGTGCGTTGACATAATCCCTGGATCGACACGAACGGTGGTACCGCGTGGCAACGGAAATTGACAGTCTTCGATGTCTGTTTTTCGTTGCGCGAAGTCGCCGTTATTACTTTGTCGTTATCGGGTCATCGACGAGATGGAGTTATAATTGCTGGGTAATTTTTGCCGTGGCGAGCATCCCGAAAACTGGTAATTTATTGTCCCCCTGGCGAGCCGCGTGCTTCCTCCAGGCCCCATCGATCAGGATCGAATTCGGGAAGAGCTTCTTTCCGCGCCCTTGTCGTCCCAACGAATTACCATTCTTACACTGTACTTAAACTGTTGCTCGATAACTGTCGCGGTTTACGTTAGATCCCTTATCCCTTCGTAACTGAATATTTTAAATGTCGCGTCGACGCATAAATTCTACGGGATACAGGCGATTGATAGGATCGAGACACAGTGGTCATCGCGAGCACGATATGTACATACATGGATCGACCACCGCATTCGATTGCTGTTTCCAAATATTTACGAGTTAATTTGTACGCCGAATGCTTCCCTCAGGGACAGTAATGTCTTAACCAGGCGCTGTTTTAATTACCCGTGCATTAAGCGGCTCCGTAAAAACTGTTACGCGTTAACCTCACGAGCAAGAAATTCGTCGATCGTGAATGGCCCCTGCGCGTGTGCCTAAAATTTAGTACCGAGTAAATTCGTCTCGGACACGGTGAACTTAAATTTAACTCGAATGCAAATACGACGTATCCAGGGAATGATTTTTACGAGTGAAACAAACGATTTTACGATCGACTCTACAAAAAGCAGAAAAATATTAAAAGTACAAACTTCCATCTTGGTAAAATAATTTTTGGCTACTTTTTACGACGACTTTCGTTCTTCAAAATAACTTTAAACTCGACCCTTGTTACGTGCAAACGTAAAATCGGTAAAAAATGATTTTCAGAGAACCCAAATCCCGCGGTTGTTGGCTGCGACACGTTTTCCAGGCTCGGAGGGATAAATCCCAGGAGTTCCATTGTCGCGATCGGTAACGCGAGCGAAGTAGCCGCGCGAAACGAATGGTGGGGTGGGTCTGAGTGGCAGTATGGTGGTGAAGGTCCTGACGGGGGTGTGCGGGGGATCGATGGGCGAGCCAACGTTAACCGAAGACCGCCTTCTCGTTCTTTCTCCCGTTTTATTCTTTTTCTTGCATCGTCCTCGGTCTTCCGTCCTCCCTATCCTCCTCTTCTGCACTCTGCCCGTCTACCCGTTTCTGCTCCCTCCCCCTCCAACCCTCGTTCTCCCACGCTACACCTGTCGTGCGCGGTCCTCCTGGCCGGAGAGGTGGTAGCAAACTTCCACCTTCGAGGGACGTTGCTCGACCCCACAACGTTCCTCGGGTCTCTCTCGACCCGTGGCCTCTTCAACGTTATCTCTCTCGATTGTTACTAAATTTACAATTTAAACCTGGACAGCGTCTACTCGCAAGATATAACGATCTTTCGTGCTCGTGATGTTGGTTATTTAGTTTTAATGCTAACCCGAGTACTCGAGTTCCTCGATCTTAGCTGACGAGTGACCACGCTCTATCGCGATCCAAGCGAGTTTCGATTTCGCGTGCACCCTCGAACGAGGCCCAAGGATTCGAAGGTGCTAATCTAATCCTGCTCGACCGATTAAAGGCACCGAAAGGAGGGTTTCTGGTCGAGGTCGCCTCTCGTACGTGTAATTAACCCTGTCGGGACACTTCTAATTACCGTGGCCCGGTGTCAGCCGTACCTTTTCGCCCGTTTGCCGTGGTTCATCGCGAAATTCAGGCAACCTCCGCAACCTTTCCCCCTCCAAGTCCCTCTTTTCTCTTCGTTCGTGGTTCTTTCGTGGCACGAGGATTGGTAGGCGTGCGCGTGCACGCCCGCGAGATCCCTGATAAACGAGCCGACGTCCCTCGTTTCGAGAGAATTTCTTTCGCAGAAAACGAGGTCGAGGCGTTCGAGGTCGTAGGCGGGGTCCACGGTTTTTCATTCTCTCCGAGGGTCCACCTTTTGCGCGGGGTATATATTTAAATTCGAGCCCCGTGTGTTTCGCGGAACCTGGAACTGGATCACACGGCGTAGGTGGAGTTCTCGATACTAGGGCCGTTTCGCGCCAAACCGATCGCTTTTCTAGGTTACGAGCGCCCGGATATTTCGACCATCGACACTGTTATGTCCTACTTTAAATAGGAAGATAGAAACAATTCGAGATTTAGAATAGGTTGTCATAGTTGGCGGTAAATTGAAGTTTCGTTTTAGAGAAAATTCATAACTTCTGAACTAATCCACTTTCCAATCAAAGAGACCCCTATATATATGTTAACGATCTGTGTAGTGTCTAAAAGTACGATTATTTCCATTTAAAAAACACGTTTTTTGATGAAGTTACGGTTATTTGAAGATTCTCAGATCGAAAAGAAGTATGTTGTATTAATTAGTGCCCCAAAATGAATATTTTATCCTTCAGCTCGATGACTCTATAGCAAACGATGTCTCTATGACGTATGATAATAATCCATGAAATGTCACCAACTGCAAACCCATTCCTTCGTCCCACGTCGAACTAGCGTCCAAATAGTCTGCAACGAAGAAAATCAGCCACGTCCCACGAAGCTGCACCAGGTGCGAATGATTAAAACTCACATCGGGCTCGATTGATTTCGATAGGTATTTATTTTCATAATGATGAGTGTTCTTTATAATCGATCTATAATATCATACATCATAGCATTCGGTTTATACATAATTACAATTGTAAATCTGGTTTCGCCCTTAGGAGTGTAATTAGTAGTGGGTTCGTCGTGTGTCGCGAGCTGCCGTACAGCGAGGCGAGAGTGTAAAACGTAGGCTCAGGCGCGTAGAAAAACGAAAAAAAAAAAAAAAATTAATAATATACATCACTGTACATTGCTCTCGTTCCCGATTTTCGGTGTCCTGGCCGTGACGCGCAGAAAATGTTCGACGCGCGGACTACTTTACGTGAAACGATAAAGGTATACAAACGTATGTACAACCGAGAGAAAGAAAAATAGTCGACGGAAGGGCGAAGGGCCGTCTGGCAGTTCCGACACTCGTCGGAAAGCGTCGATCCGCGTTCACCGAACGTATTCCGATCGACGCGCGATCGTTTCGACTCTACGAGAAGGAAGTCTCCGCGGCAGTGCCCGCTACTGGCCGCTGGTACAGTGTGTGTCGTGTAGGATTCCTAGGAAACAATAAATAAAATCTATCTATTCTCATTTATCTAGCGCGAGACGACGTCCGTCACTTTGATTCAGTGGTTGATCGGTGCCCGCTGCTTTCCTCGATCTTCCATTGCTCTCCGGTCGCTTCGACGCGATCGCTGCCCATCGAAATCCATGAAAATTTGTCACAGGAGCCGGCTGTGTTTGAGTATTCTTGACATTGGTACCCGGATATCTTTAGGCACGCTGCTTGGTTTCGTCTCGGTGGTCCATGATCGAATTTTAAATGAAGAAAAATCCATTTTTCTTGGGCTCAAATGATTCTAGAATATTACATATTTCGTGAATTATGTTTCACGCGAGTTTTCGTGGATCCACCGAGCGTTCACCAAGATGGCGTACTCAGCAGCGACCGCGTCGACGCTTACTCTTAGCTGCCGTTCAAGACCCCCAATGCCTCTTCTCGATTTCCTGGCCCGCAATCGGCCCAGTCTTTACAAAACTATCGTGTGTGTATCTCCCGTCGGAGATTCTCGTGTCGCGTCGGTCGCGTCGATAGCTTAATTGATTAATTACGCGATACATCGAAAGGTACTATGTTTATATATACAGCAGTAGCGATTGATTACTGATTAAATAGTGGCATATTTACTAAACGTTACGTTATCACAACGATGATAAAATCAGCCGGACGACCGAAACCGTGTTCGATCTATCGGCTCCGTTTCTTCCCACCGCCCACCTCTTCCACCCACACTCTCTCCCCTCTTTTCGATCGACGGAACTCGGAATTCTCGACCAGTTCTCTTCTTCGTGACACGCGGACTGGAAACGGGAACTTCCGCGACACCCAAACGAATGCACCACGACGACGTTGGAGCAATGCTCGGATAACTGCAACCAATTTTCCTTCAACGAAATTTTTACCAATGCATTTGCGTAGTCCTCGGTTATCCGACCATTGCTGCATTACTCCGTTTCGCGTACTCTTTTCCTGTTCACGGATCGGCAAACGTTACAATCTTTGAATCAAAGGAACATCGTCGGAATTCGGGGGCCAAGCGTTGCTGCGGACGAAGCGAATGAATTTTATCGACTTCAGCCCCGGTGGCTGAAGACTTCCGAATTGACTAGATTGGGAGCACCTCACGTTTATACGAAAATTAACCCGAGAACTGGGAAAGAATACGCCCGAGGATCAGCGGCTCCCAAGGGACAGCGACGCCATTACGAAAAATTCCAATCGATTGAAAGACGAAAGATATAGCCTAACCTATTTCGCTCTAACCCGATTCTAATCTCAAGTTAGGCTATATTAGGCGAGTCTCGGATTCGGGGCAAAATATACAAAGGCTGTTCTCGAAAACAACGCGTCTTCAAAACGGTTAGGAACCACTGAACTGCACTGTAGTCGGCTACGTGCCTGAAACCAGATGTTACGGTCGCGGAAGTCCATCGTGGTCCAGCGTTCGGAGGCGTCCCGTTCGATATTGCACGTTTACGTCGAACAACGGGATTGAAATCGAGATCATTGGCGATCGGTCGAATCGTCAGAATTTTGGCATCACAGTAGGGGATAGTAGTCGCGGCCGCAAAAGGGGATCGGTCACGAGCCACTGGTCGACAGAACCGGTAAATCTCGGTGGGCCTGTGGGTCCCTGGAGTGAGCGTCTCTGACGGCCCTGGAGCCGAAGACCCGATCGCAGCCGGGTACCGTGCATCTGGCCTCTTCCTTCCGATCCTCGGAACCCGGCGAGGACAACGGCGAGCCCGAGGCGGACGCGTGTCTGTTGCCCTGCTCCTGGGACATCCTGGTCAGATGGTTCAGATGCTGGTGGGTGAGCCCGTTCAGGCCAGCCAGATGGGAGGCGAACGAGGACAGGCCCGAGAACGTGGCGCCCAGGTGAGGAGGCAGCAAAAGTGGATGCGGGGGCGGTATCCTTGCGGCGAGATCGACGGCAGAGGGTAGTCCAGGCGTCAGGGGATAGGCACCCAGCGCACCGATGCCGGCGTCCGCGTACAGTCTCGCGAGGAACTCGTTGTGCAGTAGAGGGTTCATCTGTGAGTCGTCGACTCTGGGCGACAGGCTGGGCGGCAGGCTGGAGGAGAGGGGCGGGCTCGACGAGGTGGATAATAGCTTCCGATGGAGGTTCAGGTTCGCCGAGTGCCTGTCGCGCGACCTCTTCGAGGGGAAAGCGGCGTTACAACCGTCCACGCTGCAACGGTGCATCAGCTTCAAGTGCACGTTCTGATAGTGGGTCTTGACGCCGAAGTGGTTTTGAAAGACCTTGCCGCAGGCGGTGCAACGGCGAGGATTGTCCCGGTCCAACGGGACCTCCTGGGTACTGATGAAACCGCCGTTCTCGTATCGAGCATAGGTGATCAGGCTATTGTCCGTATCCATGGCCGCTGTGGAGGGTGAGGCGCTGGATGAACGAGAGCCACGTGAGGAGTTGTCCATGGTGGTCTCCTGGTGCGTCGTGAGGCTGACGGGGCTGGTAGAGCCGCGGCCAGACCTCGAACCCGCCCGCTGCATCCCGGCGTACTGCATCGCGCGACCCTGCGACAAGGACTCGAGTTGACGCAAAGTGTTGGTCGAGGAGTCGTGGGAGAGGTCGTCGGCTGTCGTCGGACGGCTATCGACCGAGCTCGGGGCACGGGAGGGATCATCGGGACGCTCACCTTCTTGATTACGCAGCGCGTCGTTCACCTCCTCATCCTCCCCATCCTCCTCGACCTCCTCCATCGGTTCATCATCGTCATCATCATCCTCCTCCTGGTGCACCTCATCCTTTAACTTATCATCCGTCTCGGACTCTTTCTTTACGGACGGTCTCATCGACTCGTCCTCCCTCGTCGTGTCCTCGCACTCGACCTTGATCCTGTCGGTCTGCTCCGCGGGGCAGGGCTCCCTCGTGGCCGCGGGAACCGCCGCCTCCGCGGAACGAGCCTCCGCTGCGTCGTGGGCCGTCTTTGGTTCCGGACTGATCTGTCTTCTCGGCGACTTGACGCTGCTCGCTCTTGAGCTCAGATCCCGAGGCTCGTCCTGAGGTAGATCATCCGCGTGGTCCTGAGAGGCTTTGGTCTCCCTGGTGCAGGCTTCCGGCGAACGGGAGCTGGACTCCTGGTCGTTGAAGCCGAGGTTCTTGGGCGAGTTCGGCGACGCCTTTCGCTCCTCCGCCTCCAGCCGGGACATCGACATGTCCTCTGGCTGACTCTGAAAGTCGTTCATCGACGTGACGGCCGCGCCGTCCGTCAGACAGCGTCTCTGCACCCTTTCCTCGTCGTTGGACGAGTCCCCGTCCGTAGACGAGGAGTGCATCTCCGTGAGAACGGCGCACCGAGTCGGATGCTGGGACTTTCTCTTCCTGACGCCTCTGTTGTGCAACGACGTCGAGTTCATGGAGTGCTGGCTCATGGTGAAGCTGTGCTGGTCGATCGTGCCCATCGAGTCGTTGTCCTCGTTGCTGTCCGGGTTGCTCACCAGGTCCTCGTCCGCGGTCTCGCCGAAGTACAATTTCGGTCGTTTCGCCAGACTGAAGTCGGCCGGTTGCTCGTCGTCCTCCTCCCCGGATCGGAGGAGCAGCCTCGAGGGCAGGTTGCTAGCGTCGTCCTCCGCCACCACCACGATGCCCCCGTCGTCGTCGTCCTCCTCATCGTCGCCCTCCGGCGCTGCGGTCGAGGCCTGTGTGGAGGGCGACACGGTGTCCACTGCGCTGCCGCTCGAGTAGGATCCTCTGTTCGTGGCGGCGCTCTGCGTTTCCGCGGCGGTGGTCATCGCCACGGTGGCGGTGGTTAGTACAGTCGTCGTCGAGAGGTTCGCGCTCGCGCTCATTCGCTGCTGGAGCGTCTCGTCGTACGGCCTGCCCTGGTTCTGGCTGGACGAGAGGTCCAGATGCTTGAAGTCCAAGGCGCACAACGAGGCTGGCGATCGAAGGTCGGGCGGCGGGGTCAATAACGGAAACGATCCAAAGGGCAGGTGATTCAGACCAGTGCCTGGGACCGGTAGCCCGACCTGGGGCGGCAGAACCAGGGCGTGGGCCATCGACGAGCGACCGTCGTGCGGCGAGATCTTCCGCCGCAGATGCGGCGAGTGGAGCTTGGGATTCGGGTTGGCGCTGTGTCTGTTCCGCGACCTCCTCGAGCTGAACATCATGCTGCACCCTTTCACGGTGCACTGGTGCATCTCGCGCAGGTGCACCGCGCTGAAGTGGATCTTCAGGGCGCCCTTGTCACAGAAGGTCTTGAGGCAGACGTTGCACTGCACCCTCTTCTTGCCGGTGGTAGGATTGATGAACGGCGTTCCGAGGTTTGGTGGTATGTTGGCCGAGCCGCCCCATTGGCTGCCCGGTCGTTTCCCAGGTGAGTGCGGTTTCCTCCCCGGTATACCTGGTGGCCTTCCCAGGGGTGCAGCCTGGAGGGGTAACGACGGATGGTGCCGGTGGTGCTCGGCGGCGTGCTTCGACGCGGAGTCGCGTCTGCTGAGGTTCAGGGCGCTGTCCGAGTTCTCGTCGTCGTCCTCGTCCTCCTCGGAGCCGAACTCGCTGCTCTTCTCGCCTCCGCTGTGCACGTCCGAGGGGATCGTCATCCCGGTCACGCACACGGAGGATTTGCCCATTGGTGGGTGTGGAAAATGAGCGGGGAAACTGGGTGGCAGGGCGCCGGAGGACACCGCCACTGACAGAGGATGTCCGAAATTGAGCGCGGATGTGGAGACTGGGGCCACCGGGGGCATATGATGCCTCTGAAGGTGATTGCTGCTCGAGTGATGGGGCGGACTGTGCGGACTCTGGGGGTTCCTCATGGATTTTCTGTTCTGCAACAGCTGCTCCGTAGACAGCGGAGGCGCTAGAGGTGTGAACGTTGGTAGACTGAGGGTGCTCAGCTTCCGGAAGTCGAATGGTTGCATGCTCTGCAGTCTGTTCAACGGCGATACCGTCAGATGGGAGTCCAGGCTTCTAGGCGGCGAGTTCGCGGTGCTCGTCACGCCGACGGAATTCCCGCCGGAGGACACGGAGTAATGCTTTTGGGCGGTCGGCGACATAGACGGATGTGAGACGGATGGCGGCGGCGGCAACGGAGGCGGCGGCGGGGGCAGAGGAGGCGGCAACCTCGAACCAGGCGGCGGAAGGCCGCAATGGAGGAGGTGCAACGAAGGCGGTAGGTGTGCTAGTGGCATCGTCGGCGGCGAAGGTCGTCTGCTTGGTGACATAGCATCCGTACCCGGCGTCCCGGCGGCCAGCAGCAACTGCTGCACGAACGGACGCGTCTCGGCGAACCTGAGGAACTGCTGCAACACCAGCGGCTCCTCTTCAGGTAAACAGATACTCCATCGGTCCAGCACCGGGCCGTTCTGCGAATCCTGCGGACAGATTGTCGGATCCCGTTAGCATACAGCTTCGTTCTGTTTTAAAATGGTCGACGTTTACGGGACAAGGTGTACATTTTGGTTTCTCGACTAGGACTATTCGAATTGGAACGATATAAGTAATTTTTAGCAAAATCAAATGCTACTTTGTTATTATCGTAACGTATACGATATTAATTGTACTAAATGTCCCCTTTAATCCTTGAAGCGGACTCTCAATCTCAACTGAATTATTTTACTTAATGTTGATTTTTACCAAATTGGTAGATGGAAATCAACTTTCCTTTAAAGCATTTAAAAAATAATGAACTAATGGAGGATTACATTGATAGATACTAAACAATCATTAGTTTGAACTAGTGGAGGGCTGTAACGGTCCCAATAATTTATTTAAGGGTTGAACAAATGGAACTAAAAGTCGAAGCAAAACGAACTCTCTGTGACAAAGTCGAGGGCGTGACTAGAGGCTCGAGAAAAACGGTGAGCTTCGAAAAAACGTGTCATGGTCGTCCGTCAGCGAAGCGTTACGCGAGTTGTCGGTTCGTGACGTATTTTATAAATTTTCAGATTGTCGAGACTCATCGAACGACATTACAAACTATGCCCGTACGTGAAATTAGTAGATACTTTCTTTGGTTTAAAAATTGTAACTGTTTCGTTAGTCATTTTTTGTGCACAGAAAGAAAAAAACAAAATTAATCGTGCTGTTTCCTAGTGTTTCTAGTTTTTGCCTCCCGATCGAGCTAAAAAAAGAGTTTTGAGGCGTAGTTGGCGCACGATAATTCCTCATTCGGATAAAAACGCTTCCGTTACTCGTCGATCGCCGGAAGGCCTTCGCTTGCGTAACGTCGCGTACAATGTACGGGACGATTAATAAGAGCGGATCAATGAATAACGAAATTAATTTATTCCCTTTAGTGGCGCGAGCAGTTAGTTCTGCTTCACTTGTCGCGTCTAGCGTCGAAGTAGATCGAGCCTGTGCTGCCGTTCCTTTAATCAATTAGGATTAAAACCTGCTTGAACGGGGAATCGCAGGCTTAGTCGTTAACAGTATCAGATATTTATGTCGCGAGACTAGGATGACGATCTTGGATAGGTTGGAATGCAAACGAAGTCGGGATTACGATCACGATTAGGTTCGAATTGGAACGGTATTGGTAACTTTGCGTCCTACCGATTAGAAGTCACAGATTGGAAATAAAATCATTGTTTGAAGTAGCGTTCGAGATAACGGTTGACGTCGTAGAACTGGTTCGCGTAAGTGTGACGATGCACGAATTCATTTAAGGCCGTTCCGGTTTCTCTTTCGCGTTCTTGATTTCAATACACCTGTTCTTTGCGTCGCAGCATCGAAAGTCAAGAGCACTTCATAGCGATCGATTAACAGGGCGTGATAATATTTTCGGTACGCGTGGCTCGACCGACGGATCGGCCGATCGATACCCGTTCCCCGCGATTGTACTTTCTAATTACCGTAGTATAATTAGCAGAAGGTTTCGTAACTAGGTGTTGTTCGATCGGCCAGCATCGCGGATTATTAATATCCTATTATTTTAAGTCTAACCGCGAGTCGATTCGAATTTTGGGGTCGAATTCGGTTCGATGTACGGTCGTGGTCCAGTTTTTCGAGGGTTTATCGTTCGAACGTCACGTATCGACTGTTGGAGTCACGGGTGTTCTTCTAAAATCGGGGTGGCCGGCGTATATAGACCGGGGCCGTAAGCTTGTCTCTCTCTCGCGAGCTTGTATATTTACGCATACCGACGGGCTCGACGTAACGCAGGACGCCCAGCGCCGCGACGCTTTTCGCCCGCGTCCCGTGTATATTTCTTCAAGCACGCACACGCCAACGCCCAACGACATACGGCCGGCGTGAACTCACGACCGACGCCACTCCAAATCCGCACGAGCGCCGAAACCGTTGCGTTATTTTTCGCGCCGAGCTGCGCCGCTGACCGCAGCCCCGAAAACCCGCGTGCACCGTAACACGAGACAACCGCCATTTTCTCTTTGTCGCGCGGACGGAAGCTCGTTCGTCACCCGCGAACGGCCCCCCGACAGTCCGTGTATAGTCTTTTGCGTTTCCACGAAAACCAGGCGTCGCCTTCGTCGTACAGATTTTCCGGAATATCGTCGACCAAGATTCGTCCGTTTATTTTTCAGAATCGTAGCCTCAATAGATACGGATAAGTGGGAGATCGATTACAAGACGCTCGAACGCAACGTTACGATTTTTATATCGTCGTTATTATTTAAAATTTTTTAATTTTATTAAGACGCCCCGTTGGTTATTACTTTATTTTTAAAAGTGAGAATTGTTGGTTCATAAATACAATGTATAATGAATACTGCTCTGTATTTAGATGTTATCTGTACAAAGGTAAGGACTCGACTAACAAATATGGCGTTGGTGATTCCCTTTTCCAATAGGTCCATTTTTCTGTTATAATCCTCAGCGGCCTTTTCTACCTGACTACGTCTCGTTAGACGCAAAGAAGATGGAAAGTCGTCGGGTCTAAATTGCGTGAAACAATAGTTTGACAAGAACCGATTTTGCTCTTCGCTATTCAAGCAATTACGGGTAATTAGTTTGTTGACCCACCTGGATGATACCACGGTTCGCGAAGATACTCTGTAATTTTGCTTCGAGCCTTGTATGATGGATTACGGGACAAGTCCAGGACGCGAGGACGCTGACCCCGCAGGAAACTGAATTTTAAGCAACAGAGTTTTAACACGGCCCCGTAAAGTGTCTCCTTAAAACATTGTTAATAAATTGTGAGAACAAGAGGGACAACTCCCGGAAACCCTCTAATTTGTGCAGCGCCAATGACGCGTTCCCCGGAATCTAAGGAAGCTCTAAACGGTGGAAAATTATTAAAATTTATCTTAATGTAGAACAAAATAAATTTTACATATAAAGCTTCGAGTAATTTTGAAGAAACGTTGAAAGAATTTTAGACGTTGATAGTACAACTAATTTCTAGCTTTATTTTTATTTCGTGTGTCGTTGATACTAGAGTTGTGGAATCGATTGAAAAAATTGGAGCAGTTAATTTTGTGGCACCGGTGTCGAATAATGGGAAAGAATTCGGGATCAACAATCGTTTCTCGTAAAAGAAACCAGACGCGGAAAATTCCCCAAACGCGGTACGTGTCGACGCGCTCGCGCGCTCAAAAATGTCGAACGGCATCGTCTCTTTCTGCGATTTGCAGTTACGTTCGCTAAATATAATACCGTTCGACGAAACCTAGCCCCGTGACGCCTGTTAGGAGCCTCGTCGATCGTCGTACGCTATTATTCGACGGGTGAAAGTCGACGTTCTAATTGCGACGCGGCCGATCGTCGCCCGACGCGCGATAATGAATTACCGAATAAGGGAATTACAGTTACGGTGTCACATATACGGCGATCCATCACGCAGGGACGGGCAAAAAATTACGCCGCGCGTGTAATCGCTCGATACGGCCAATCGAATATTTTTTAATTAACGCTCGACCCTGTATTGTGGCTCTGTTGCGAAATATATTGGATTAAATTGCGTCGATAGAAACGCATGGTGTCCGTAAGCCACTCGTTAAACTAATATTTATCGATAGCGAGCAATTATTTAAAAGACGAAAACAAAACGAGGAATACGACTGGTGGTTTTGAAATTTAAAGATATATTTTCTGGTTGTCTCTATAATATTTTTGACGCGCTAAATGTATCTAGAATTTAATATTCGTTTGCGTTTGTGGTATGTTTGAGGCCTCTCCGTAATTAAAGAAAATGGTTGCTCGATGGATTGTAACCGTTATGAAGCGATTAAATTCGCAAAGTAAACCTTCGCTTTGTCGAGCGTCGAGCAACGTTTCGACGGATAGTGTGAGCCAAGCTTTATCCGCTGAAAATTATGGCAATGACGAAGCAATAGCGTGACATTCCCGAAGGCTACGATTTTATAGTTTTTTTTTATCCCCGTCACGCTGCAAATTGACCGCAAAGAAACTGTTGTATCGCATTCCGGGCTCCTTTTCCTTCCGTCCTCTATTTTCGTTCGCTTCGCCTCGACTCGAGGTTTTTCTTTATTTAATGACAATTAACGGGAGAAGTCCCGTAATACGCGATCTATTAATTCAACGAAACGGTACGAATTCAAAATAGTAGTTTATACTTTGGTAATTAGGATTTCTGTGAGACGTTACTAAGGTTGGGAGTATTTTAATACTTCATAACCATTCTATCTAACTAACAACTATCGAAATAATAATATTCCAATTATTTGTCGACTATCTGAATCACCAAAGTATTACAATATTCTAATAATTCAGACCAAACTATCCCAATGGGAGCCTCGCAACACCGATACAGAACAATTTGGTTGACGGTTACCAATTCTGTGCAGCTACGATTATTAAATTCGACCGAGTCTGCCTTGAAATTTCTATTTCACGTTCATCGGGAAGAACCGACGCGAAAGTTGCCATTAAAGACTGAATAGCCATGGACGCCAAGACGCAGGAGCGTTGCTCGTCTCTGGGAAACCGCGGTTCCGGATAACAAAAACGTCCCGGTTCCCTGCGAACTCTCCACTTTCATCTTTAAACGATCGCGATCAGAAAAAAAGGACACTTTTTGTCGGTTTCCGGCACGCAGGGATCCAAAAACGCGGGAAGCCAGCGCCAGTCCCCGGCGCGTTCGCTGATCTTTCCTCGTTGACTTTCCCACGTGGATTTTCCTCCGCGGGCATAGAGCTCGACTACGGGACGAGTCATCGTTCGCGCGTGTGCGTGATCAGAGGCCCGCGGAGCGAAAAGGTGTTCCGCGAAACGACTAAACTGTTCGTCGTTACGCGAAAGGAACGCCAGGGACCTAAACGGTCGTGTCTGAGAACTACCGTGTG